CCCCAACTGGGGATGTGCAGTGTACATGCCATTGACCGGAATCAAACCTGGGACCCTTCAGTCCGGAGGCCGACACTCTATCCACTGAGCCAAACCAGTTTCGGCGACACTTGGTTTCTTAAATAACCATCCTGGTGGGTGTGAAGTGATATCGCATTGCGGTTTGGATTGGACCAGCAGTATTGTGGTTGCTTCTTTTTCTGTATATGGCTGCTTCTTTGATGACATGTACTCCTCAGGACCTTGAAAGTTTGTGAGATCAGCACCTGGGCCTGTCTCAGTCACCTCCACGTCTTCTCCCCCAGCAGAGTGCCTGCCCAGTCAAATAGGATGGCCAAGAAACCGAACAACCGAGAATGAATGAGATCTGGTCCAGGTGTCCTTTCAGACCCCGGGTCCAGGTGTTCCGAGTGTGAAGCAGGCATCATCCACACTGCTGACAGGCTTGGGTGTGCTCCCTCCGTGGCAGAGCTGGGAGCAGGCCAGTTCTTTGTGCCACTTTCCCAGTACGGCCATTTGCCTTTAGGCGATTCTTAAACCACTCTGGCACCGGACGGACGTAGACCCAGCCCTGCACCTTTTCACAGCCTATGAGACAGCATGCAGGAGGGAGGTGCTATCACACACCCAGTCAGAAGAGACAGGCAGCCCAGTCCCGGACATTCACAGGTGACAACAGCCCACGGTTTAGGGGACTGCAAACTTTCCCCAATCCCTTATGCAAAACATACTCGAAATTTGTTTGAGTCATTTGAAAAGCAATGCCAAACCTGAAAACTTGGCAGCGTCTCTGTATTTATGGGCCCTTTAAAAATGCATCAGCTCAGACAAAGTTGGTGCAGGGGGGGTGAGCAGAGAAGTGTGTGTGCCGTTGGTTTGAGTGACTACAGTGCAGCGTATGGTCAGCTGGCAATGTGGGTCAGGGGGGCGCCCCAGGCCTGGAGCCTGCTCTGCCCTTATTCTGAGCATGCCCATGGGTCTCCAGGAGAGCTTAGGAGTCTCTGTACTTACCCATCACTTTTCCTAACGGCTAGCACAGCCCTTGGAGTGAACACACTCATCCACCGGGTGTGCTGTGCGGCTGTGCACTAAGGGCAGGGAGTGAGCAGTGAGCCTGTCACTCTGCCTGCTGGGCCCTCCGGGACCCTCCCACTCTCTGCAGTGCTTGGCCCTCCGCAGAACCCTCCGAGGCCTCTCAAAGGCAAGGTCACCAGCATAGGGTGTCATGGATTCAGGACGAGAACCCAGGCCCCAGGCTCCCAGGCCAGCCCTTCTAGCATCAGTTGGCCTTGCCTGCCCATGGCCACCTGGGCCTCCCCCAGGGAAGTGATGTGAGCCTATAGCATCACACCCCTGTCTGGGTGTTGGACACGGGTCAGTGTGGGTGGAGGGATTCTTAGTGTGGTGAGGAGTGAGGTGCCTAGCCTGCATGGTCTCAGCAGGGACATTTTACAGTGAGGGGCTTCTAGACTAAAGTGACTGCCCCTAAGACTCAGACCCTGGCAGTGTCACTGAGCCACACCAGCCTTCCTTCAAGAGGGCAGTCACAGCCGTCAGACTGGAACCAGAGCCTTCTAGCTCTTTAATGACGCATAGGGAGTTTCCCGATACAGCCACTTTATGGTGTCTGCCTCAAGGGAAACTGAGTCTCAGAAAGGTTTAGAAACTTACTCAAGTTCACACAGCTACTACCTAGGGTTAAGACCAATTGATTGCTTTTTCCTTTTAAACAATGTTATGCTTGACAAGTAAAAAGCTTTACATATTTAATGCGTATGATGCATATACTCCTAGCCCTACGCAGTTTGACTCAGTGAATAGAGCAGACAAGAGGGTCTCCTGTTTAATTCGGGTCAAGGGCACGTACCTGTTGCAAGCTGGATCCCTGGCCTCAGTTGGGGTGTGAGCAAAGAAGTGTGTGTGCCAGTTTGGGAGGCGATCCATCAATGTGTCTCTCTCACATTGATGTTTCTCTCTCTTGGCCTCTCTCCTTCCCTTCTACTCTCTCTACAAATTAATGGGGGGGGGGGGAAGTATCGTGAGGTGAAGATACAACAACAACAACAACAAAAATATGTATATAACCCTGAAACCATCACCACCATCAAGGTCATAGACTTATCTATCACCTCCCAAAGTTTCTTCCCACTCCCTTTTTTAGGGAGTGGGAAGAAACTTTGGGAGGTGATAGAAGGGGGGGAGAGAAGGGGGAAGTGTAAAGAACACTTCACATAACATTTGCCTGCTTAGCAAATTTTAAACTTACTATGCAATACTATGCTATAATATAGTACTGTGGTCAGCAGACTGCGGCTCTCGAGCCACATGCGCCTCTTTGTCCCCTTGAGTGTGGCTCTTCCACAAAATATCACGGCCTGGGCGAGTCTATATTGAAGAAGTGGCGTTAGAAGAAGTTTAAGTTTAAAAAATTTGGCTCTCGAAAGAAATTTCAATCGTTGTACTGTTGATATTTGGCTCTGTTGACTAATGAGTTTGCCGACCACTGGTATAGGGCATCTCCAGACCTTATTTATCTTGCTCACCTGAGACTTTATACCCTTCGACTGTCACATCCTCATCCTCCCCGCCTCCCATCCTTCCCTCGAGACCACCATTCCACTCTCTGCTTCTACTTCTACAAGTTTGGCTATTTTAGGGTCAGACACATGAGATCATACACTATTTGTCTTTCTGTGTCTGGCTTCTTTCATTAAAACCAATTTCTTGACTCCCTATACTGTGTGTTTGTTTCATCTCATTGCCTCAGATTTCACCAAAAATCCCAGTAGCCAGCCCCTCTCCAGGACACCTCTGTTGGGAGGAAGAAGGTGTCAGGTCCCAGCCAGCTGCGGAAGTCCGAGAGCCATGTGTCTGATGTGGCTCAGGAAAAGGAGATCTCCCCAGGCCCAGCTTCCCCATCCCTGCAAAATATCACCATTTCAGACCTGGCTTCACTGTGGACATTGAGTCGGTCACATTTGGGTTTGAATGCCAGCCCTGCCTTAAACCAGCCACTTGGTAGACCCAGTAACTGCTGTGAGCAGGAGACAGTGTATGTCACAGCCCGTACAATAAATAGGTGTTCAAAATTCTGGCGCTAGAACTGGGGTCTCTACAGTAGAGCCTATAAGTTGGAGAAAGGCTCAACACCCCACAGGGGACAGGATGGGGTTGTGGAGAGGGGGGTGGGGGGGACAGAGAAACACAGCTCTGGTTTAAGGCCTAAGCCAGAAAGAAGGGCAATGGTTATGGAACGAGACATTGTTGAATTCTGGCTGTATTTACTAATGAAAACATTTTTAAATTAATAGCTTTTACTGTCATTTTATTTTTAAAGTATCATGTGTTCTTTGAAAAATTAGGAAACACAGAGGCAAACACACACACTCACAAACACCACAGTCCCATCACTAAGTCTTCCTGAGTTTTTTTCTGCATGTTCTATTAGTCCAGATGAGTTTTCTAAATTAGAGATCATACTCTTCCAAACCACTGGTTGTTTTGGGGAACCTGCAAGATGTTACAGCCTCTTTCCATGCTAATAAGACTACATCTCCACCCTGATTCGAAGGGGCTGCCTCCTACTCACCCTAAGGCTGGCCCACTTTCCATTTGAATTCTGCAGGGAAAGGTGGGCTAGTGGGTATGATGTGAGAGGAGGAAGGAACAGAGACACACTAATCAGAGTCCAGGAGCTGGTCACTCTCCTGGGTGCTCTGTTCTCTGCACACAGCAGGTGTCAACTTTGCCTTAACCAGACAGAAGTTTGGGCTTCTTTGCTTTCTGGTCAGTCAGGGAGCCCCCTTGGCCAGCAATTTTCCAATGTGTCCCATGCAAACATCAGTAGAGAGGACAGGCAACTGTGGGGATGAATGTGCATGTCGGGGAGAGGAGGGGAGGGGAGGGGAGGGGAGGGGAGGGGAGGGGAGGAGAGGGGAGGGGAGGGGAGGGGAGGGGAGGGGAGAGGTCTAGGAGGAGGGCTGACCTCTCCCCAGCCCCATGGTCCCCAGCAGCCCCGAGCTCAATAGCACTGAGCAGAGTCCAGTGTGCGAGGCAGATCTGGTCCACAGCCCTGTTTTCCTGTGTGAGATTTCAATTCCCACCTAGTTCAGGGCTCTACTCTCTCTGGGAGCACCACAAATGAGAATTAAACTGAATCCCATTAGTGCTAAGTGAAGAAACCCACAAGTCAGGTCAGTAATGCGAGTGGTTTCCATTGGCCTAGACAAGGCAGGAAGAAAATGCATCTCATGGAAAAGAGCCCTCAAGAACCTTCAAGATCTTGGAGAGCTGACAGTGCTGACTGTTCACTGTGGGCCAGATTTAAAACGGCCTGGCCATGTTCCCACAGCACAGGCGGCAGGGAGCCCACAGACCACCTGGGGGTCTCTGGGACCCTCAAGAGTGGGTCTCATGGTGTGGCCTGGCTCCGTGGATGCAGCCTCAGCCCTCCACCTGCAACAGGAGGGGTTGAACTAAAGGGTCTTCCAGCTTCCCAAGTTCTCTGATTCTTGGGAGCCGCCCAGGTTTCAGAAGGTTGTTAAATGCCTTTGGCAGGAGGCTCTCCAATGAGATGCAGTGTTTCGTCCAAGAATGAGGGCTCTGGAGGACCCAGCTGCACACATCGCAGGGTGACGCTGCCTTCTGTAGAGAACCATGTTCTGGGGTCCTACGCTGAGGCTGAGCTCAGGGCACGGAAGGCTGGCAGGCCTGGGTTTTTACCTTGGATCTCCCATTTCCAGCTGCGTGGCCCTCTCCTCCAGAGATGAAGGTGTTGGTCCCTCCATGCTCAGCTCCCTGCCTGGACCCACAGAGGAGAAAGAATGGATGCCCATGAGAGGAAGCATCCTCTCCCACTGGAGAAGGGCCCACCCTCTCCCCTTTCTCTCACCTTCATTCCCAGAGTCACTCCCAAAGGCCTGGGAGAAAGGCCAGGTCCGGAGGCCAGCGGTGGAGCCAGGAGCCTGGGTGGTGGTGACCGGCATGCACTCTCGTTGCAGGGAACAGCAGCCTCGCCCACACCGAGCTCTGTCAGAAGCACTGGCAGGACCTGCCCCCCAGTAAGTGCCACAGCAGCACCCAGGACACCCGGAAGGAGACCAGCAGCATGTGGGCTCTCATGGTGGTCGCCCAGCTGCTGGCGGGCATCGGGACAGTGCCCATCCAGCCGTTTGGGATCTCCTATGTGGACGACTTCTCGGAGCCCAACAACTCGCCCCTGTACATCGGTGAGTCACAGGCTTGAAGAGGGCTGCAGGGGGCTGGGGAGCGGGGGTGGTCAGGTCTGATCTGACACTTAGGCTCTGAAGGCTAATTTGAGGTCTTAACCCCCTTTGCTCCACAACACAGCAAGCGAGTGCAGAGGTTTGGGGATCAGACAGACCTGGTTTGAATGGCAGTTCTGGTACCTATCAGCTATAACAGTGGTTGGCAAACTCATTCATCAACAGAGCCAAATATCAACAGTACAATTATTGAAATTTCTTTTTTTTTTAAAAAAAAAAAAGAAAAGAAAAGAAAAAGAAGATATTTTATTGATTTTTTTACAGAGAGGAAGAGAGAGGGATAGAAAGTTAGGAACATCGATGAGAGAGAAACATTGATCAGTGGCCTCTTGCACACCCCCTACTGGGGATGTGCCCGCAACCAAGTTACATGCCCTTGACCGGAATCGAACCTGGGACCTTTTGGTCCTCAGTTTATCATGAGCCAAATCGGTTTCAGCTGAAATTTCTTTTGAGAGCCAAATTTTTTAATCTTAAACTTCTTCTAACTCCACTTCTTCAAAATAGACTCACCCAGGCCATGGTATTTTGTGGAAGAGACACACTCAAGGGGCCACAGAGTCACATGTGGCTCGCGAGCCACGGTTTACCGACCACTGAGCTATGAGATCTGTGCAAGTGGCTGAGCCCCAGGGCCCCGAGTTCCTCACCTGCAGAATGGGGCTAACAGTGTTTGTGTGCTGGGCAGCTGTGGGACGACATGAGGTCATGTATGTAACTATTTAGCCCCCTGTCAGGCCCAGAGAAGCTCCTTGACCAGCAGTAGCTACTGGTGCTGTCAAGCCCTCGAGGCCTGGGCTGGGGCACACATGTCTTTCTGAGTCATCCACTTATGCACAGATTGGCCTCAAAGAAGCACATGCAAAGAAGGTGGATGACTATCTGACTGCTCAAATCCTTCCCTTAGCACAAGCCATATTGAGCATCCTCAAGGGCCCTATACTGCAGACCAGACAGACCACACCCACTGGCTCTGTGGCCTCACAAGCTCCTGCCAGGACCTCCAACATTATCCCTGCACAGGCCTTTGCCCACCAGCACTGCCCTGGGCAGGCGTCTTTAAATGCCAGGGAGACCGTTTCCCTTCTGGCAGGTGGATCTCTCTGGCAGCTGGCTGGAGGAGAAACAGCTTTGGTTCTGCACGTCTTAGGATCTTGAGCAATTCTGGCATTGCCTGGGGTGTGGATTTGTCAGGATCAGAGGACAGATGTTGTGACATCTCAGGAATCCTTCGGCTAGGGAAGGACCTGGGGCTGTCACACCTCAGTTCCCCTCAGCCTCTTTACCCTGCTCTCCTTTACAGCCATCTTATTTGCCATCTCTGTCTTTGGACCGGCTTTTGGGTACCTGCTGGGTTCTGTCATGATGCAGATCTTTGTGGACTACGGCAGGGTGGACACAGGTGAGTGTATGTGACAATGCCTATCCCATTGCCAATTTCATAAAGCAGTCTCCCTGCCCTCCCCCCTCCACCTCCGCCCTTCACCCCACCACACCCCAAGCAAATCAGGGCAAAAAGTGAACCTTTAATTGCAAATGCTCATTGCCACTTGCTCATTTCTATGCTCACTTTTGCTGTCTCCCAGACAGCTCGGAGCAGCAGATGGCATGTGCCTCCCCTCCCAGGGCCCATGTTGGACTCTAGGAAAAAGGAGGGTACACTGCTGGGGAAAAAAAACAACAACACGCAAACCCTCAGGAAATTTGCAACTCGGGTTGGCTGCAGGAAAACCTTGAGACCTAGGGAAGTTGCCATTACAGCTGCCTATCTTGGTGGTGGTATTAAAATCATTCCCACCAGCCAGAAGATGTGCCTGGAAGGCAGGTGTGAGCCAGACCCTCAGGAATAACACGTCTACCTGTGCCAGGCACACAGATAAGAGCCTGCCCATCCCTCAAAGAATATGAGCAGGTGTTCAACCCAGCCCTGCTGCCAGAACCCACAGACTCCTGCCTCCTGGTCCATCAGACCATGACATCATCTGCATCGTGTCCTCTGCCTGTACTTCAAACCCAAGGGAAAAGCCAGGCGGAGCTTCCAGCCTCAGGGTCAAGCCATCTTTGCCCTTTCGCTGGCACTGGCCTGCATTGGTTCCTGGCTGTTGGTTGACCAAAAGGATCTCAACTGAACTCCTGGTCCTCCAGGGACAGTGCCCAGGGAAGCCTGTCATTGTTTGGCTGAGGTCCATTCTGCTGCTTCTCCTTCCCTCCTAGGTAGTTCCCTATCAAAGAAACACAATGGCAGGCTCTTAGATGTGGATGGGAGACTTGCCAGGAGTAAGCATCTCCTTTGGGGGCCAGGCAGCCCACTCTGTGGGTGTTGTTTCCTCGGGCTTCTGAGGATTATGAGGCCTCCTTTCTTAGGGAGCAATCCAGTTGGGGAGCAATAGTATACAGTGGTTTAAAGCTCAAGTTTGGACATCAGGAAGACATAGGTTTGAAATTGATCAATAATTTTAACCTTGGACAAGGACATGGTTAACCTCTCTAAGGTTAAGTTTCCTAATTGGTTGGAAATGGGTGGAATAGTCCTTCCCTCTTAGACTTACTGGGAGAAGATAATAGATGCAAGCGTGTGGTCTAGTGTCTGGCCCGTGATAAGCCTCAAGAGAGTTACTGCCAAGGATGGGAAGTAAAATAAGGTGAAACGAAGGTTCTGATCCCTTCAGCCTGGGAGTATTTGATGCTCTGCTTCTAGTTCATGGCCTTACCTCTTCTCCATAGTGAGGAGAAAATCCCCCTCATCAGAGAGTCTTTTCCCAGTAAGGTGAGATCATGCATTCATCCAACGAACACTGGTGTCCTTTGCTTTCTCTTCAGGGTTAGTTAACTTGAGCCCTGAAGACCCCCGCTGGATTGGAGCCTGGTGGCTGGGCCTGCTCATCTCCTCAGCCTTCTTGGTTCTCACCTCCTTCCCCTTTTTCTTCTTTCCTCGCACAATGCCCAGAGGAGTGGAGGTAAGGTTCTGAGAGCCCATAACTCTATATATAGGAGTTTAAGAAAGGGAGGTGAGGGTAGAAAATAAACAGATCTGGGAAGCTGCAGCAAGGTAAGCACATTCTAAGTGAAATCTAAGTAAGTCTCATGATGCAGGACTTTTCAGAGGCCTTGAGAGATAAGAGTGCTGGTGAATTTCCAAAAGATAATATCTCATCAGTGTGCCCTTCCCATGGTAACATCCAGGAATGTAGTCAGGAAAACACTGAGCTCATCTAAACTGGGATAAAAATAAAAGCTGACTATGTGACCTGGTGCAATTGACTTTTGCATTCCAAAGAGCCCATCTTGCTGAAGGACTGAGCAAGATGGGAGTCCTAGTGCTTGAGGGAGAGGGTGGGCTGAGAGTAGATCATAGTTAAACAGACTGACCTCCTACCCATCGTTCAGTCACGTCTGTTGGGGAAAGAAATCTGGGAAGGATGAGAATGAAAAACAGAGATGAGAAGTCTGGGTGGGGACTTTGATGGTGGGCTGATGGATCTAAAACCCATTTTGATCCCATGAAGTTCTGGGGTGCTGCAGTGATGGGGCTACCAGTCAGGTGGCAACATGGCAGCTAGCTTGAGGATGGGATTTAGGAAGGAAGGAAGACTGGAAATCTGATGAGGCCAGTGCAGAAGCAGGGGATGACGGATGAGGCTAGGGCAGGCATAGACATTCTTCGGAAAGCAAAGGGTATAGGTGTTTACAGACAGTGCTGAGGACTCAGCAGTGACCTGGATTGGAGGAGAAGAGGGGCTGCAATTAGACCAAGGTTATGAGCTAGACACACAGCTCAGTGCTCAGCAATGAGGTATATGAGATCTTGGCCCAATCTTGGGAGGAGGGGCAGGAGTAGGAAGATCTGGGCTTGTCTTGGGGGAAATTTCAGAGGGCAACACATCCTGGTGGTTTTGGGGTCAAGCAAACCTGAGTTTGAGTCCAGCTCTGCTACTTATAAACTCAATGAGTGGTCTTAGGCAAGCTTCCTTGTTTCTAAGTTTCTTCTCCTTTACAATCCTGGAGATAGAATGGGTATCCCAGAAGGAGGCTGTGAGGAGTGGGACAATGGCATGCTAGGCACAGTGCCCAATGTGGAGAGAGCATTGAGTGAATGGCAGCTCCTGTGCCTGGTGATGAGTTTTCCCGGAGGATCCGCACTGTGTCAGCACTCAGGGCCTTGCAGGTGTGGCGGTGTAGAGCTCTAGCCGATGAGTTCGGAAGAGGTAGGCAGGTTCTCTGAGGAGGTACGCACAGAAAGTTCAGGCACAGGGCCAGGACAGAGCTTTGAGCAGGACTCAACTCTGGGCCCAGAAGGAAGAAGGGACTCTGTAGAGAAGATAGAAAAACAGAGCTGGGAACATACGTTCTAGACTAGTGTGGTTCAGAAGCCCACAGCCCCTGGAATCTGAGGACAGGGAAGAAACATAGCCATGACATACAGGCAAAGGGTGAGATACAGTCAGACCCTTTTTGGCATTTGTTGTGAGGAAGTTACATATGAAACAACATGCCCAGAGCTATCTTGGGAGGCATTGGTATAGCAGCGTTCTGGTCAGCAGCCAAAGCACTGGGCTCACTAAATGCAGGTGGCATTTATTTCAAGAGACATTCTCTGGACACCCTGCCATCACACCTGGGGCAGCTCACTGCTGCCCAGCCCTGAGCACTGAGACCAGAAGGGTCAAGGGCCCAGGAAGTGTGGCTGCGGAGAGCCTGGGCCATTGATTTCCTTTGCTGCCTTCAGGCATCTCCCGCCATGACGGACGAGCCAATGAAGATGACGGTCAAGCCAAGAGGCTCTCTGCTGGATTTCATTAAACGTAAGCCAGTGACCCAGCAAAGCCCTGGGTGGGCTGGCTTGGTGGTGGTAGTGGTGATGGTGGGGGGGGGCAATCAGGAAGTGCCCAAGCCCATGAGGCATTGTGTATGATAAGGAGCATTATGAACAGGTGGCCTATAATTGGCCCATCTCACAGGAGGGTTCCACTAGGAGACACAGATTCAAGCAGAGCCAGCTCGGCCCCATGTTCTTCTCTCTCCTTCCTTTACGTGGAGGTGAATGTCCCCACTGCTAGTCTTATTTCTTATCTACCTGCCACCTGATTTCTTCCAGATACATTCTCATTTTATTAATTTATGTGTTTTTAGATATGTTTTTATTGGAGAGGGAGAGAGAGAGAGAGAGAGAAACATTGATGAGAGGGAAACATCAATTGGCTGCCTTGTGCACGCCTTCTACTAGAGATCGCGCCTGCAACCCAGGCATGTGCCCTGTCCAGGAATCGAACCAGTGACCTCCTGATGCATAGAACGAAGCTCAACCAACTGAGCCACACTGGCAGGCCATATTCTCATTTTATTTTACCCAGGATTATGTTGAGTTGGGATCTGAGAAGCTGTGTGGCCCTGGCCAGACCACTGAACTCCTCAGGGCCTCAGACTCTGCCCTGAGGACAACAGGAGCGTGGTCTGGAGGGAGGAGGAAGGGCAGTGGCCAGGATCCCAGTACCCTGACGACTGTGGCCCATGAAGGCCTGGCCCCTAATGGTGGTCTGCTTGCAGGGTTTCCCCGCATCTTCCTTAAGCTCCTCATGAACCCTCTCTTCATGCTCGTGGTCCTGGCTCAGTGCACCTTCTCCTCCGTCATCGCCGGCCTCTCCACCTTCCTCAACAAGTTCCTGGAGAAGCAGTATGGTGCCTCCACGGCCTACGCCAACTTCCTCATCGGTGAGTGCCAGCCGGACCAGACACAGACAAGAGCCAGAGGAGGACTTGCCCAAGGGAAAGACGTTTAAGGACCATTTTCTTGGTTGGCAGTGTAGAGTGCTCTGAACAAATTGCTGAGCCCCTGTCATTCCAGGCAGGAGTGGGTGGAGGCGGGGGGCTGCCTTCCTCCCCATCAGAGATTGGAGGCCGGACAGCCTGGCAGCGGCCCTAAGACATTGGGGGCAGCCGGGTAAAGAGAGCATCAGTTTCAGGTAAAATGCTCCTGCTTCTGCTCCTTCTTCTCAGGCACGTGAATACATTTGCCTCGTAGAGAGTATGTGACCCAGGGATTCTGGGCTCTGGCTACACTTTAGGCTCCCGGGAGCTTTAAATAATACAGGTGCCCAGCCCCACCCCCCTCAGTACAGCAGCGTCTCTGGGTGGGGCTCAGCATTGAGCATTTTTGCCAGTCAGGCTGGGAAGCACTGATGTGGACCCACCAAGCATCCAAGTGAATTACTGGGCTCAGTCCACAGGTAAGTTTGACTATATAGATGCAGCAAGGACCCCCACCCCTGTGTGGCCCTTGGATGTGCCTTTACTTCTCTAGCTCAGGCCTCTGACTAGCAGGCAGGGGGCACCACCAGAGCCTGGCTAACCTCGTGTGATCACAGTTAGGATGCAGTGAGCGGTCAGGCAATGAAAGGCACCCACATTCAACCCGCTTCCTTCTGGACACAAGGCCCCACGTCTATCATGATCCTCAGGTTGAGAACTGCTGCTGTAGAGCCTAAGACCATCGCAAAACATAGATATCTACATTACGATTCATAACAGTAGCAAAATTATAGTTATGAATTAGCAACAAAAATAATTTTATGGTTGGGGGCCACCACAACATGAAGAACTGTGTTAAAGAGTCGCAGCATTAGAAAGGTTGAGAACCACTGCGTCTAGGTCAAGGCAGCTCTCTGCAAGTGTGCCTGGCAAACAGTAAGTGCTCAATGAATGTCAGGCATTGCTAATGTAATGGAACACCTCCAGTGCTCCTTCAGGAAGTTGTGCCCCCAGGCCTGCGCACACAGACCCACTTCCCTCTCTCTCTCTCTAGGTGCTGTGAACCTCCCCGCCGCAGCCCTGGGGATGCTGTTTGGAGGAATCCTCATGAAGCGTTTTGTTTTCTCTCTGCAAACCATTCCCCGAGTGGCTGCCACCATCATGACCATCTCCATTATCCTATGTGCCCCTCTCTTCTTCATGGGATGCTCCACCCCAATCGTGGCAGAGGTCTATCCACCTAGGTAATGGGAATGAGGGCTGAGCAGATACCCTCTGCTAAAGGCCAGAGCCTGGGTCTGGCTGCCATACCTCTTCCTTGCTGCCTTCTCAACTCTCTCCTCTCTTTTTGACTTTTTGACCTTAATCTCTTATGTGGAAACTTAGAAAGCTAGGTCTTGAATAAAATGCTGAATTATAAGAAATCAGAGGGTCCTGGTGGGCCGCCAGCTATCAGGGTTAAGATTCTGTGTTTTTAAGAAGCACCAAACACTAATTAGTTTGGTTTCAGGGTGACTCTGTAGGGCTGTGAGCCTCAGGAACCAAGAAATAAGCTATGTTTGGCATCAGCTCTGTGCCAGCCAGAAGTAGGGTCTTTGGCTGCTGAAGAAAGATGAGAGAAGGAGACTTGAAAAGAACAATGAAAGTGATGGCAGACTTTTACAACAAGGGCAGTTTGTACTCCATGAAGCAATCCAGGTCTACCTGGCTCCTGTCCGTTTGCATAAAGCAATATGGTCCTAAGTTTTAAGTCTGGCTTCAAGTTCAGAAAGAACTTGAGAGGCTTGTGAAGGGAGCATTTAGCTTTTTCCTAGGTGCTACCTTTCAACCACCTCTTCTTTTAACTTTTGCCTAATGAGGCTACAACATTGGGAGATGCCGTACCTTTGAGCCTCGTTGCTTTCTCTGTCTCTCTCTTTGAAATAACCTCTTCTGTCTTCGGTGGGGAAGGAGAGAAGGGGTATGGTTACTCAGGATGGGAAACCTCTGGTTTGTACTGGTCTTCTGCAGGCTGACTGTGGACTGAGAGAAGCTGAGAAGTCCCCAGGCCTATGGGTGTCTCCACTGGGAGTTAGCGGGTTTTGTCATCAGTTCTGACGCAGCCCTTACTAGCTGGGGAAAGTCACTTAACTTCTCTAACCTTCACATCTTTGGTGTTCTCATCCATAAAAGGAGCATAATAATTATGGAATTATTGTGATGACGTGCATGACAAGCCCCCTGGGCACAGTGCCTGGCACATAAGAGAGGCCACGTGAACGTTAACATCGTTAGCATAATTATGTGAGCAAAGCTCTGGGCTGTGGTTTGTCAGCCCTATCCCAGCTTTTCCAAAAGAAGATCGTGACTATCGGGTAGGAAAGATGGCGGGAATGGTGAGATCATCCAGTGACATCTCCTTGTTTGAGGCTCAGGGGGATGGAGGGCAAAGTCTCCAAAGACCAAGAGACAGGAACTATGAAGACCTGGAGTGCTTCACGGAGCCCCGCCTGCCCCTCAGCCTGAGCCCAGGTGGAGGAGAAGGGAAGGGAAACGTTGCTTGTGACTTTTGTGTAGCATCTGCTCTCTCTCCCATCAGAGTCCTGCGTGGTTGTTGGTCTTGAGCACTTTGCAGTGGTGGTGGAGGTGGGTGGTTGGGGAGGGTTTGCCAGCGGAGCCTTTCTGCCTCGCAGCTGGTGGGGTTGAGCTTCAAGTAGTGGAAGAAACAGAGAGGGGCCATGAGCACCGACCAGCAGTCCATTCACCGTGGGCCCCAACAGGCATAATTCATGGTGTTGTCGGCCCCAGACACACCAACACACACCAGCCAGGCGGGCACCAGCCAGGCGGGCACCCGCCCCGGGTGGAATGGAGAGATGTTTCTCTGGTCTTGCTTTGTTTGAGTCCCTGTTTCCTGTTTTCCTGGCAGCACATCAAGTTCTATATATGCGCAGCCGCCTGCCTGCCGCAGGGACTGCTCGTGCCCGGACTCCATCTTCCACCCGGTCTGTGGAGACAATGGGGTAGAGTACCTCTCCCCGTGCCACGCAGGCTGCAGCCACATCAACGTCAGCACCGTAGCCTCCAAGCAACGGGTAAGGACAGGAAGAGTCCCAAAGGGTCCCTAAGCTCAGTGGGCACCACCCACCCCATCCTCATGGCCCCATCCTGGCCTCCAGGCCACACACCCCCTCTCTCTGCCTCCCCTTCCCCAAGGCCATGACCAATGCTTACATCCCAAAGTCAATTAAAGATTGGCCGATATTCAACAAATGCACGTTCCTAAGGCTCGGAGCAGAAACCAGCAAAGCACTCCTTCAGCGGAGACCTCCCAGTCTCATCCTGACGGGCCCTAATGGGCATCTTTGGGTCCTGCATTCTGGCCCTGTTGGAAAGCCAACATGGACCAGGCCCAGACAAGTCAAGGACACAGGGTCCTCTGGGATGTGGACCTGGAAGGTTAGAGTTGAAAGCAGCGATCAAGGGCATTAGGTTCACACCCTCAGCTCGCAGATGGAGCCACACAAATGGCCTGATGTCATGCAGTTATTTTAGGGTCAGATCTGACTTTAGAACCCAGGACCCTATCTCAGTCTGGGGGCACATCTGCTCAAGGTCATGTACGTCTTGGCCACCAGCTTTCCATACATGTAACCAACATTCGGTAGTTCACTTAGTGAGGTCCTATCATCCCTCTGTGCGCTAGGGCTCCTGGCCTTTTAAAACTAGCCAGCAGCAAACTAAGTTCAGTTATTCAACAAATAATGGACACCTGGCACAGCGATGCATGCTGAGGACATAGTGGCGGACCCATCCGACAAGGTTCCTGCTCTCATGGAGTTTGAATCCAATAAATGCACAAGATCCTTTTAGAAGATGGCTCATGCCATCAAGAGAGTTAATGGACAGAGAGTGTTCCGGGGGCGTCCCTGAGGAGATGACATTAGAACTCAGCCACCAGAAGAAAACCTGAAGGGAAAGTATTTGCACTGAAGCCATGGTCGGCAAACTGCGGCTCGCGAGCCACATGTGGCTCTTTGGCCCCTTGAGTGTGGCTCTTCCACAAAATACCACAGCTTGGGTGAGTCTATTTTGAAGAAGTGGCGATAGAAGAAGTTTAAGTTTAAAAAATTTGGCTCTCAAAAGAAATTTCTATCATTGTACTGTTGATATTTGGCTCAGTTGACGAATGAGTTTGCCCACCACTGCACTCAAGGAAGAGCAAGCACCAAGCCCCAGGGCATAGCTGAGCTGGATGCAGGAGAGATGAGAGAAGGCCGAGGTTGGTGCCAGGCCAGGGAGCAGGCAGGGGCCAGAGCCAGCAGGCCAGGTTTAGGAGTTAGATGTTCTTTTTTCCTGAGAGCACTGGGAAGTCTGTGCAGTTCCCCTAAGGAGGGGAACGCACCTTATGCCCTTATGTCTGTGTGGAGGTCATGGGCGAGGCTAACCCCACTTCCCTTCCTCTCTCCGAGGATAAAGGCATCTGCTTCCATGGCCACCCCAGTGGGCAGAGGAGTGTAAGTCTCAGGTGGAGCAGGGACAAGGGGCTTGGACCAGATGTTCTCTCAGCTGCCTTCTAGCTGGAGGAGACTGTGGTGGCCTCCGTGGTTTGCTTGTTATCATTTACTTACCTCTGACTCACGGGTAAGGACAGGAAGAGTCCCACAGGGTCCCTAAGCTCAGTGAGCACCACCCACCCCATCCTCATGGCCCCATCCTGGCCTCCAGGCCACACACCCCCTCTCTCTGCCTCCCCTTCCCCAAGGCCATGACCAATGCTTACATCCCAAAGTCAATTAAAGATTGGCCGATATTCAACAAATGCACGTTCCTAAGGCTCGGAGCAGAAACCAGAAAGAATACTGACAAGTTTCAAATAGTATAAATCATCATTCCTTAGCATCATATCAAGGGGAAAAATAGTAAGTTATAAGAAAATGGTGATAGGCTAGTCCGTCAGACACTGCACTCGGGGGGTAAAGACCACCTGGGTGGTGGCTCGGTTGTCCAATAGTGTTGACCATGTGGCTTGCCAGCTTGAGATGGGACCTCCCTCCCTGGAAACCTGTACAGACAGGAGGAATTCCTCTCTGGCAAAGGCCAGGCAGATGAGGAGCTTAGTGGATTCTATTGTGTGTTCTCTGTTGTCTGCCCCTGTTTATAGCTTCCTAACCCTCCCTGCAACACACACACACACACACAGCAAAAACAGCAACCCACAAAGCCGCTGCTGCTGGGCGTGGGGTGGCCTGGCCCAGAGAAGAGCCCTCCCAGTCTCCGGTCCCAAGCCGGGCGGACCTTGCCTGGCAGTGGAATCCTGTGTGTACGGATGTGGGTGCACCTGCTGGAGGAGCCCAGCCTACACTGGACAGCTGGTTCCTATTGCCCAAATGGGTCAGGGGAAGGATCCATGGGACACCTTGAAACCCTCAGCTGACCTCTCCAGCCTCTGAATCCAGCCTCACCCAGCTCCTCAGGGGATCCAGGGACAGAGGGATTGAAACCTGAGGGACTGTCTAATGCAGGCATTTGATGTGTGTGCAAGCAAAGTAATGACGTTTTCTCTTTTCTCCTCTCCTTTTTCAAGATCTATTTGAACTGCAGCTGTGTGACCGGGGGATCTGCTTCAGCAAAGACAGGATCATGCCCCAGCCCCTGTGCCCACTTCCTGCTCCCGTCCATCTTCCTCATCTCCTTCGTGTCCCTCATCGCCTGCCTCTCCCACAACCCCCTCTACATGATGGTCCTGCGGTGAGCGCCCCTCTCCTGGCCCGCGTTTGCCTTTGCTTTGTGCTCAGATGCCCACTTAGCTCTCCTCCCTTTCCTGGTCCTCAGAGTCCTTTGAACATGATGTATAGTGTTCTTTGGATGAAATGGGGAGATGATGGTAACACGGCAGTGCCGGGGCCCCACCTGTGCCAGGCTCTGGGCAGAGCCCCTCTCTGCATCGCCCCCTTCCTTGGCTCTGTTAGCACCCCCATTCTGCACAGGGGATACCACTAGCCCAGGAGAGCAGAGGAGGAACAGCTGATCCACATGCTAAAGCCAGGCTGCCTGGCTCCACGCTGTGGAAATACCTGGAGATTTGCTTGTTTTTAAATCCTGAAAGAGCTGAGAGGAGTGGGGAGAATTCAGTAGGACGGATGAAATCGGGGATCAAAAATCAGGAAAGTTTCAGAGACAGGATGAGGGCAATGTGCAGGGATGGAAATGAGAAAAGTCCAGTGTGCTAGGAGCCAAAGCTTAGTCCTCCGGTCAGAAGGGGGAGGCTGGCCAAGGCAGGAGGGGAGGGCAGAGGTGACCATTACAGTGGCAGCTAAATGTCTCTGAGGTTTTGACAGGGAATGACCCTTCCCTCACCTCACTCTCTGCAAAGGAGAAAACTCACCAACCAAGTTCACCTAACCCACTCCTGCCTGCCTCCCGCCTGTCCTCACCTGCCTCACAATCAGAGAGGGAAAACCATAGGATTTACATACTGGGGTCCAGGGCCCAAGGCTCAGCTCTGCCATACACTGGTCGAATGTCCTTGGGTTTTGCCAACCTTGCTGAGTCTCAATTTCCTCATCTATGGAAGGAGGTTAATGATGTTGACCTCAAAGGATTGGGGTCAGGATTAAATGGTAAATTCCTTTGTAAATACAGGTGCTCTACCTATTGGCTAATTATCACTATTAACCAAATAATAATAATAATAATAATAATAATAATAATAATAATAATAATAATAACAGCTAGCTAGGTACCAATGACCTATTTTCCCCAGAAGCCTAGGAGCTAAGGGAGAAGCAGAAGCAGCCACTTGTCAGCGTCTGGGGTTTTACCCTCTTTACAAGTTTGCTTGCAAACTGCCGAGCTCCCATATCTGCTACAGTTTCAAGGATGCTGGCAGAAGACAGGAGACTCCAGGGTCATAGGCAAGGACTTTGCTACTCATAGCACAGCAAGCAGCATGGACCTCATGTTGCATCATCCATCCTTGTCCCTCAAGTCCTAGGGGGCGACATGGAGGTGCCCAGGTATGTGTGTGTGTGTGTGTGTGTGTGTGTGTGTGTGTGTGTGTGTCACATGCAGTGGGTGTATGTCACAGCTGAGGAACACTGCCCTTGGGAGAGCCACGGCTTCTGTAGACAGTGCCTGCTCTTGGTCTAGGTGGCGATTATACCTCGTGCTTTGAGGTTGAGCCTTGCAACCGTGACCCTGAGAAGTGATCCGGGACAAGAGCAGTCAGTCAGGAGTGTGTAGATGCTTAAGAATGTGTAGGGATTCTCAGTGCTTCTCCTCACACCATTGTCACTCTCTTTTCCACCACTCCCCACCCAGTGCTTTCCAAGGACCACCACTTTCACCTAAGGCCCTTGAAAGGGTTCCCTTCTTGCACCCCAAGTCAGATGGACCCCGGTAGACACTCTGACCCTGAGGAAGATCTGTGGAAGGCCATGATGGGGAGAGGGCCCCACCTCCAGGGCGTCTGGTTCTTGGATCTGGGGTGGGGCCTGGGAGTACGAATTTCTAACAAGTTCCCCCGGGGATGCTGATGCTGATGTTCCAGTGATCAAGCTTTGAGAACCATTGATACAGAGGACAGAAGCATAGGCTGCGGTGGACCCAGTCTGCCCATGGCTCGTCGGGCTGCATGAGGGCAGGTTCTGACGGAGGCTGGCTGCCCCTGACTGAGGGGAGGCATGGCCAGAGTCCTCCACTCATTTCCTGTTTGTTGTTTGGTTTTTCAGTGTGGTGAACCAGGAAGAGAAGTCGTTTGCCATTGGGGTACAGTTCTTGTTGATGCGCCTGCTGGGTAAGAGTCTGAGACGCCCCCTTCCAGAGGCATGGCCCCACGACATCTGAGGGCAATGGGATGCAGGGCAGGGATGGACTAGTCCTCTCATCTATGTTGTAAAGAGAAGCTGTACATGATCAATACAACCCCAGATGCCCCATAGCACTATATGGGCAGTTTCCTTGGTACTTGTGGTTAAGAAAGATTTCATCCATGGCATAAATTCCCAACTACATTATGTAAGAAAAGGAAAAAGCAGACACAACTGAGCATACCTAATAGAGAATTGAAAGCGGGTATTTTTTTAAACCTCTCTCTGAGAACTCACCATCAGAACAAAACCTCCATTTCTCTCCCAGCCAGAATGGCAGCTGAGCTCAGCCCTGGTTTCCCTCCCGTTTTACAAAATTCACTCCCACTGCCATTCACAAATGTTCCTCGGTACATATGGGGTCCTGTGCGCGCAGCCCAGACCCGCGGGGAAATGGAGCAGTGCCCACGGGATTAGCAGTGCCCACGGGAGGGCGAGCTGCCTTCGGGAGCCGGGCACACACCAGCCCTCCTCCCTGGTGCATGGAATGGAGCAGGGGCATGCGTGGGTCTCACCCACATTGCAGGCTCTTCCCCAGACTGTTTACGCTGAACTGCCCCTTCCCAACACATCCGGGCACTAGATAAACCGGGCACTGATATGGAGAGCCTTGCAGGTTAAGGAAGTAAAGGGACCAGGTTCAACTGGAGGTGTGTTTGTTAGGACCTAGCGGGTGAGCACTGCAGCGGGGAGTGTAGCAATTGCAGTGGAGGGACTTCAGTGAAGGAGTACTTTCTGGCCTCAAACCCTGAGCCTGACAGAGCCCTCTGCGCACTGTTACCCGGGAGCCAGGTCTGCACTGGGCCCTGCAGTGTCTTCCGTGAACATTATAATTCTGGGGAGTGTCGGTGTGGGAGCTCCTGGGCCAGCTGAGTGGGAGCCTTTGCAGGGCCCTCACCCACGGAGATGGGCTAAGGTGTTCAGATGATGAAAAATGAACCAGCCTCACAGTTCTGCTTCCCAAGGTCACAGGGATTCCTAGAGGCAGGGCAGAGCTGTACTCACACCTGTAACATGTAGGGGAGTTGGGGGGGAGGGGGTTGGCTCCCCACCCTGCCAGGCATCTCTGCCGGCAGCTCCATGTGACCTGAGCTCTCTGAACTCCCTTCTTGTCTCTGCCAGCCTGGCTGCCCTCGCCGGCCCTCTACGGCCTCATCATTGACTACTCCTGCATCCGGTGGAACGCACAGTGTTCAGGGCGGCGCGGGGCCTGCGCCTACTACAACAACGACGCTCTTCGAGACAGGTGAGGGCCAAGAAGGCCAGGTCCCGGCCTGAGCAAAGAGGAGCCATCTGTTCTGGTGGCTATTGTGGGGGGTGTCAGGGTTCTGAGGGAGAAGGCCAGAGGGGAGCTGCCATAGTCAGGGAGCAGGGGCCATCGGTGATGGGCATCTCAGGGTTTGCAGAGAGCCAACCAGGTAACAAGACTTGGGGCTACTCTGATGTGACTTCTCCTCCCCCTCAACCTGGGATCCCCAAGGCCATTGGGAGGGACAGCAGCAGAAAGAAGTGTGTCCAAGGGAAAGGGGAGGGTTGGCGTCCGAGGGAGAGGCTGTGACTGTGGGATGGTGATGCCAGGCCAGCTGGTCACTGCTCACAAAGAGGTTGCCCCTTCCCAGCTCCTACAAGAGGTCAAGGGCAGGCGGGTCCAACCTGCCTCCGTGGGTCTGAGCCCAGGTACAGTACCACTGAGTTCTGTGCCACTTCCAGCCACCTCACCTGCTGCCGTCCTCACACAGACCAGAAACAGGGAGGAGAGTGGGCTCCAGGGGGCTGGGTGGGTCTGGGCATGGTGCCCAGTGAAACAGAAGGCCCAGAGAGGCTGGACCAAAAGGGCGGTGAGAAGGTGCCCTTCTTCTGGCCTGCTGGGAGGACAGGACCCTCAGGGCTGGCTGGGCTGCAGTGTTCCTTTGGCCCTCTAGGGGGCGGCTGTGCAAGGACAGGACCACTGGATTAAGCGCAGCCTACTCACAGGGAGGCTTGTGCCCTTGTGGATCAGAGGAATGGGGAAAGTGGTCAGCACCTACGTGGTGACAGGTCCTTACCTGAGTCGTGAGGACACATTCCCTGGGCCACTAGTGAGAGTGACGCCACTCTTGCCGAGGGCCCTGGGACGCACACAGGCTGCAGAGCCTCCACAGCCCCTCCCCCGTGCTGTGTCCTCCTGCCCACAGGTACCTGGGCCTGCAGGTGGGCTACAAGGTGCTGGGCACGCTGCTGCTCTTCTTCACCAGCTGGCGGGTGAAGAAGAACAAGGAGTACAACGTGCAGGAGAAGGCTGCAGGCCTCATCATCTGAGCTTCGGCCCTCGGCCCGGCCCCCCCGGCTCCGGAGCGTGGACCTGCCCTTCCAGGCCTGCCTGTATTTACTAACGTTATTATGTTATTTCCTTCCTGTTTTTTAAAAAAGAAAACAAACCCCCGTCACCATTCGCCTTCCCTGCCTCCTCCCAAAGGCTCCCTCTCAGGCTCTCTGTGCTCCTGGGCTGGGTGGGCACAGAGCTGCAGGGCGGGGTCTTCACTGGCTCCTTGGGAGGGACCCACATCCCACGTGCTCCTCAGTGCTGGGCCCTCCAGAGAGGATGCCCCCGAGGCAGCCCCCAACCAGTCCTGGAGAGAGAAAAGGGTATCTATCCAGAGAAAGGGGGGCGTGGGCTAAGTGGGCTAGGAGATGGGGGAGCCTGGCTGGAGCCCCCTTTGCATCTGGGTTCAGCATTAGCACAGAACCAAAGAGGGGCCCGGCTTCCTGCTCTCAGACCCTCCTTCTGCCCCCAAGAGGCCATTTGGGAGCTGCCATGCTGGGAGGGTCAGCCAGCTGGTCTCCTCCAGTTACCACACTCAGGCACTTGAGCAGGGACCAAGACACCCGAGGATGGGTCATCCAGATACTGTTCACACTAATTCTAGGCCCTTCTGTACGTGGGCCCGGGCTTGTTTGTCTCTGTCTTTCTGGGGGGATAATTCAAACTACGAAAGCCACACCACCGTGAAGACCCAAGGAAGGCTGTGAGATGGTCCTGCTGCCCAGCCTCCCACCCCCACAGTGTGGGGACAAGACCCTTCATCTCAGAGTGACGGGAAGACCCTCTGCCCGTTTCCCTTGGGAGCAGATGAGGCAGCTTCCCACAGGCTTCCTTGTCCGAACTTCAGACGCCGCAGAATAGAGAGGCAGCCCAGGATGTCAGCAAAGCAGGTGACAGCGCCGAGGGGAGGTCCAAAGCTGCCAAGCTGGAGGATGAGCTGCAGCCCACAAAACAGAGGCTGGCGAGGTTGGCTTTCGTGATTTCACACACACTGGTTTTCATCCGTGTTTTCTCGCCTCATCTCACTGTCTCCAGAGGTGGCGCCCTCTTATGGCTTGAGTCGCTACTGCAGCCGTGCGGTAGAGGTTCAGAGTGAGAGCCAACAAAGGTCTTCCAGGCACAAATATATTTATTGGACTTGGTGCAGGGCCTTGTTAGTACAGGGCTCTCCACTGAGCTTCTCTGCCATCCCACCTGCCCCCTCTCCACCGACACGAGGGCCTTCTCCCAGAGTGTGAAGACGCAGCAAAAATCCGGATATTGTCAACAGGATCTTGGCTGTCCCTGGTGCCCAGACTGACCCTGCACCTGGCCATTTGCCAGGCAGAGGCCTGGTTGCACCGCGTCCTCTGGGGTGGCTGGGCACTGGTCACTGCCACATGTGCATCTCTGAGGCCACTCCTCATTGGAGACTCCTCCAGAAACATATCAGACATGACCTCTGCAAAGGCCAAAACGTTGTGTCCATGGCCAGACTGCCAGGAGACTGAACTTGGTGCAAGCCACGATCACAGCAGCCTTACTTCCAAAGCCACCAGCCTTATTTCCAAAGACCTCACTCCGGAAGGGAGGCTCTGTGCCACCTCAGGGGCTAGATTCCGCGTTTAAAATGGTCCCGCTTGGAAAATGACTCCCTGCCACTAACCCTGGTCTTTCTTGCTGCGGTTTAAATTCTGAAGGCACTGCCTCCAGCTGAGCTCGTGAGCAGTGAGTGCCAACCTTCAGATTCTGGAAGACCTGTTGCCCTGCCGAGCCTTTATTCTGCTGTGATGTTGCTATTAATATATTATAATTTTGCTATTGACGTAAGTTGGTCGTGGATTTGTACTCCCATGTGTATCTGTCAGAGAGCAGGCAGAGCCTGCGCCTTCTGGCCAGAGAGGATGCCCATGCCACAACCCTCAGGGGTCCATGGTCATGGGCATCAGAAATAATGTAACTCTCCACCCATCAGCCTGGTACAAAGCAGGCAGCAAGTGCTGCTTGCAACTTCAGTGACATTTCTGCAGGTACTTAACGGTCAAAGGCCCATGGTGTTGGGCTCTCAGAAGGCCTGATTCCGACCCTTGAATTAATATCCAGAAGTGGGTTTTCCATGAACAGAGAAGTCCACAATATAAAACAGAATTAATATCATAATCATCATTGATCACTTGGTCGCAGCCAATACGACCACTCCCAAATATTTCCTCCCGGCTGTCAGCAGGGAATGTAATGGTGGGGCAGCAAAGCTTACCAAACTTCCTTGAGTGCCAGACTCACAAAGGATGCTGTTGGAATGCAGATTTCCAACTTCCTCCACCCATCCTCAGAGTCTATTTATGGGCATGTGAGGGGGACCCAGGAGTGGATCCTTGAACTGGATTCTTGTGAAGGGCTGATGTGGGTGGTTGTGAAACCCTGTGGTAGGTCCATAGTGCAGCCCCGTGTTGGGGATGCCCACGTGTGCTTAGGCCCACTGAGAAATGTACAGACCTGATAGGTCTTTGGTGAGCTCAATGGAAGTGAGGGATGACAAGGTGAAGGAGCACCAACAAATCTGACTTCCTGAATGCCTGCAGTCAGGAGCTAATGGGCATGCAATACGGTCCAAGAGCTCACATTCATTGTATTAGGCTCTTACCAGTACTAAGAGTGGGATTCTCACTCTCCAAGCTTGAGAGCACAAAATGTGTCACAGTTATTTCTTTAAATCAGTTATGTCTGACTTCAAACCCTCATTCATCCTGCTGGCTGGCAAGTCAATGCCAACCATGCCTGGGGTTGGCTCCCAGAGCCATCTGTGGGCTGTGGGGGTCCTGCCACTGTCAGTCTTTGGTTCTTTCCCAGTCTGAGGCCCCTGCCACTGCTTCTCCCCTGAGCCTGGAGACTCTGCAGAGACCAGATTCCAGCCTAGAACCATCTCCCTGTGTACACGCCACCAATGCTGTCCCCCTGGCCAGTCCCAGGAAGCCCACCCCTCCACTCTACTCCTGTCCCAGTCCCTCGGGGCTGAACAAAGAAGCCAGGAAAGGAAGGCTCTACAGGAACCTTTTTTATCCCATCCTTCCTTGAACATTCTTGGCATGACAGAGGGAAAATGCAGTGAGAATTGAATATGCCATGTCTCCCTAAATTATTATTTGTCTCAAAGCCCTGTAGGGTGGTCCTCACCATAGCCCCACAATGGAGACTAGACTGATCTTAAGGCCCCATTTGAGGATGAGGACTCTGAAATCAAGGAAGTAACCATTGTGGCCAACTTCATGCAAATAGTAACTGGTCGGACCTGAACTCAGACCGGGCTGTCCAGCCCTCTTTGTCTGGTCCAGCTCCAGCACCAGCTCTGTCTCCTCTACTGAGTCATCCTGACCTGGCTAGGAGGCCTCTCTGTTCCCACTGAGTTCATGGGCCCTTGGGATGGAGGTGGGAAATCTACTGAGGGCTAGCCATGTAAGATGGGTCATGGAGGTGGGGAGAACCATGTAACAGTTCATTTACCCACCTGCTTACTTCTTCAAGCAGCCAGATCATCACGACTGTTCACTAACCAGGGCCACCTCAGCCCTACAGCACCACTAGTTAAAAGGATAGTTGCAAAGAAAAGGGGACAGAGAGGAAAGGCTTCTAGGAGAAAAGGCCTGAGGATCTGCACATAGACCTTCAGGGGACACCCCCACCTGGTGACGGGTTCGCAGATTCTTGCTTAGGAAACAAAGCCACGTTGTTATTTATTTTTCCCAACCAGTCTCAGAGCAGATATGGAGAGATGCATTTAAGCTGGGACTGAATCCAGTCAGTATCAAATTGATATTAAAATGTATTACAGATTCCCAAAAGAGATTGCAGAGAGTGTATGTGTGTGTGTGTGTGTGTGTGTGTGTGTGAGAGAGAGAGAGAGAGAGAGAGAGAGAGAGAGAGAGAGATCCTATCTTTTATAATCACAGAAACTAAATAACTGGGAGAAATGTCTATCTCCTACCAAAAGCACCAGAATCAGTATAACCTTTCCTCAGAGATTAAATATGTAACCTGGTCCTGGGCAAGCCCTTGGCAAATCCTAAGTGAGAGCAAGTTTTCCTCTTAGGACACACCCTGCCCATTCGTCCACTCTACTGCCCCATCCCACCCCTCAGTGTGGCCACACTATACAGGGCTCAGCCTGTCTTGTGAAGTCTTTGCCCTCCAGGCACCTGCTGCTCTTTGATGACAATAACTGAAATGTGCAGAGAGCTTTACAGCTCACAATGCCATCCATTTAGCAGACTCCTTTAGGGTAGGTAACTCGGTCAGATAGGCTGGGCCATGCTATGGAAACAAACCTCACTCCTCTGTCACGGACACAACAGGAGTACATATCTTGCTCAACTGAAGTCCACTGTGGGCTCAGGTGACGCTCCAGGGCAGTGGCCTCCAGATGGTGGCTCAGTAATCCAGACCGCTTGGATCCTGAGGTACCTCCATTTCTTATCGATACAGATGTATATGTAATTCAGTTCTGCAAGGAAGGGAAAGGGAGAGAGAGAGAAACGTTCCAGGCAAAGGTGAGGCAGCGGGAAAACCTGCGCAAGTTCTGAGAATTCACTGCCCACCAAGGTGAGGCCTGGAGAGTCATTTAGGTCGAGGCTCAGAGGCTCCTGCAGGGTCTTGGGGGCTGGCTTACCAGGAGCCTGGTCCTGGTCCTGCTTCTGGGTCAATCCATGGCTACCTCTTCCCACCCAGGGCTTGGAGAACAGCTCAGAGCCCAACCAATGAGTCCCAGGAGCCTATGCTGGGAGGACCCCTGAGTGTGCATGCTGTATACTAGAGGAGCTGTCCTCTGTCCTCCCTGCACCCTCACCGGAGCCTCCACCTCACATGCTTGCAGGAACCATGCTCCAAGGCTCTCCCAGCCCAGGATTGAGTAGAAGCTGCTCTATCCCTTCCCTTCCCTCTCTCCCACATCTGGGCGCTGGAACCCCAGGTTTGCAGCTGGAAGTCAGACCTGGCTCAGTGTCAGGAACAGTGGGGCAGCTAA